TTTTATTTCTTCTGCATTCCTATATACTAACAATGAAATTTCAGAAAATAAATGAAAAAACAAAACAATTCCGTTTGTAATTGCAACAAAAAGATTAAAATGCCCAGGAATAAACTTAACAAAGGATGTGAAGAACCTATATACTGAAAACTATAAAGCATTATTTAAAGAGATTGAAAAAGACAAAATGAAGTGGAAAGATATTCTGTGTTCATGGATTGGAAGGATCAACATAGTTAAAATGTCCATATACCCAAAGCAATGAATTTAATAACCCTTCTATGGAATAATTAAAATATCTATTAAGTTTAATTTAGTGAACATTGTAAGATGTATCCCAGTTTCAGATATGTAAAAAAATGATTTTGAATTCTCATTTTTGGGGTCTACTTTTTATATTAAATTCTGAGAGAAATATGTTATTTAAAGCTTTGTGCTTTTATTGTGTTTTGTTCATTTCTCCTTATATTTTAATTGTCTTTACTCTATATTTATATATTTCAATGCTTTATTATTCCATGTAAAAAGGTTCATAACTTCTTTGTGGAGTCTTTATTGGTTTATTAGTATTAAAAAACCTCTTCTAGCATTTAATGCTTTTTTCTTAATACAGTTTTACCACATCTACTTTCTTTTTATTTGCTTCTATTTGATGGATTTTTTTCTGTCCCTTTGTCTTCAACCAATTTGTCTTCTTGTTTCAGGTGTTTTTTTAAGAACAAATATTTAGTTTTTTTTACTCAGTCTTAGAGTTTGCCTTTCCTGGGAATTTTTCTCTTATATGATGATTATATTTAATTTATCCTGCCACAGTATTTTGTGCTTCCATCTCCATTTTTTTTCTTTTTGCTTTATTTGAAGTTTTCTTTCTTTTTTTTTTAATCCTCACTGAAGGATGTTTTTACATTCATCTTCAGACAGGGGGTGGGGGGGCGGAGAGATAGAGAAACATCAATGTGAGAGAGAAACATTGATTGGTTGCCCAGGGCCGGGGATGAACCACAACCGAAGTATGTGCCCTTGGCCGGAATCGAACATGGGACTCCCTGGTTCGCAGGCCCACACTCTAACCGCTGAGCCAATCTGGCTACCTCTGAAGTTTTCTTTCATTCTTTACTCGTTCATTCATTTGGCAAATTTACTGTTTTTATTCTACCATAAACATGTAAATTTAAAAAATTTACATGTTTATGCCCTGGCCAGTTTGGCTCAGTGGTTAGAGGGTTGGCCTGCGGTCCGGAGAGACCCTGGTTCGGTTCCCGCTAAGGGCATGTACCTCGGTTGCAGTTTGTCCCCGGCCCTGGTTGGTGGTGCAGGTGGCAGCCACTCGATGTGTCCCTTTCACATCGATGTTTCTCTCTCTCTCTCTCTTCCTCTCTCTCCCTCCCACTCTATCTGTACAAAAAATAGAAAAATGTCCTCAGGTGAGGATAAAAAAAAAAAAGAACCCAATAAAAAATTTACATGTTTAAACCTACCTATCAATGTTAATGGAGTTTCTGAGAAAGAAAAGAAAACAACAAAAACTCTTACTATTTTTTTATTACCATTTTCTCTAGACTCCATCCTCCAGGTATATTGAAATCGGCTGAAACTTTAGAGCTTCGGAATGTTTATACATTGTGAAATTTCTCTTTTAACTATTAAAATTGGCATTAAACTTGACAACCACAAACAATAGTTACTTTATACCTAATTCTGTCCTAGTGGTTGATCATTGACCACTGTTTTCTCATTACTGCATCCTCCCATTTCTTATTCTTTATTTTGGTTAATGTTTTAATTGGTTGAAATATATTTGAGAGAAATGGTTTTTTTGTTTTTTTGTTTTCCAGAAAAGGTATATGGGTGGAATAATTTTTGAGTGATTGCTTGTCTAAAAATGTCTTTCTTTTGCTCTGGAATGTAAAAGGTAGTTTCTGTTGCAGGTAAGTGTTAGGTGGTTCTGATTGTTGTGTGTGTGAGAGAGAGAGAGAGAGAGAGAGAGAGAGATTTATGGTTTTCCCCCTCATTAGTTTTTTTGTTTTCCTTTTATGAATGGTTGATATTTTGCCAGGATGGGTCCAGGTGTGTGTGTGTGTGCAAGCTGTATATATAAATAAATTATATATATAATCTTTTCTGGTTCTTGGTGAATTTCTTCCATGGAAAATCTTGTGTCTCAGATATTTTCTTTGATTTTAGTGTTTTTTCATCTGATCAGTTACCTCTGACTTATGACTCCTAGTTGTATCATGATTTGAAACTTTATTATTATTTTTTTTCCAAATCTCTTTTTATTAATTTAGAGAGAGAGAGAAACATTGATGTGAGAGAGAAACATCCACCAGCTGCCTCCTGCACGCCCCCTACTGGGGATTGAACCCAAAACCCCGGCATGTGCCCCAACCAGGAATTGAACTGGGACCTCTTAGTCCCTGGGATGATGTTCAAGCCACTGAGCCACACAGGCTGGGATATTTTGTTCTTAAATACCTAGAGATACAAAGTGTTTCTATTCAACAGTGATTTCTCAGTGATAGTGAAATTTGATGTGTGGGAAGCACATACCTCATGAGGAGTGATCCTCTCTCTACTCATCTCTTTTGTTGTTGTTGGAGGTTGTATTTTATCTCTGTGTATTGGACTCTTGTCACATAAGAAGAAAAATTGTTTCCTTGATTGAGTAGTTTTGTCTGAGCTATGGGTACTATGAAGTTGCAGATCATTTTAGCCCGTTTGAAAAGTTGTGTGATTAAAAATTTAATTAATTGCTGTGAGGTGGATCACAGGTAGCATTACATTTTGATGCATCTTTCCAGAGTAAAGGAAGAAAAAAACCCACCCTACCACTATATTACAATATATACTGTATATCCTTCTTCTAACCTGCATGTATGTGTTTTCATTTTTCATAATTTTCTGCCTTTTTCCTGCCTCTTATTTTAAGGAGAATTTCTGTTGCGGATGCTCTGTATGATATTCAGTCATCAGGTTTACTGCAGTGTACAGCCTGCTAGTTACTGTCTTCATTGGGTGTTTTGTTTTGGCAATTGTATTTTTCTCCTCAAGACTAAGAATGTTCTTTTCATATTGCTCCTTTTTTTAAAAATTTTTTATGACAGCCTGTTTTTATCAATGTGGCAGTCTCTGGAATCTCAATGAGATTCTTCTGTTTGGTCCTGTTTCTGGCAACAGCTGTCTCCTAAGAGGCTGCTTGTCTTGAGCACACAGATTGGTCTTCTCTTCTTGAATTGCTGAATATTTTTATATCCAATGATTATTCCTCTATTTGTTTATATGTTGAAGTGATGTTTGCATTTGCTCTGTTGCTGAGATGGTTCTTTCAGAACTTATATAGGCCCCTGTGCAGTTTTCTGTCCTGGTATAGTCTCTCTTTGCTGGCCCAAAGCCTGCTAGTGGGATAGCCCCCACCCAGTCAACCTAGTACATCTATCAGCACAGCGCCCCACTCATTCAGCGGGCTTCTATGCTGTCTCAGAACTGTGCCACACAACAGTCATGTTATATCAGAGACTCCAGTTGATTTGAATTTGCCCCCCTGCATCTACTTGCAGCTCTTAGCCAGGGAACACTTATGAAGTTGGTGTGTGTTTGTAATTTGGGGGGGACTGGAAAGAAGGAAATCATTTTGTGATTCACTCTGTTCTACCTGTATTGCTCCTACTGAAGCCTTCCAAAAGGCTGGGACCCTTTTGGGCATGTAGGGATGATATTTAACCAAACTGGACCACTTGTTATTTAACCTTTTCCCCTACTATATCTTTGTCTCTGCCTGAAATGCTTTCTTCCTAATCCCATTTCCATCTGTGAAATTCCACGTATCCACGTAGCTTAATGCCACTTATTTCCAGAAACTTCCTTAGATTACTTCCACTATAAGTAATGAACCCTTCATCACATGTTCTGCCTTATATTCTAGCTTTTTATACCCTTGTCACCCCCTTTCCTTTTGCATTGTAAGCTCCCTGCATTTGAGAACCATGTCTAGCTTGCCCCTATATGGAGAAATATTAGAATGAAGAAGTTAGAGGAAGCCAAGTTTGACTCCTCGTTCAGTACTTACTCTCCATGAGACCTTGGACAAGTAAGGTACTAACTTTTCTGGGTGGATTTTCTCAGGAAAATGGATATGCCAATAGTACCTACCTCATGAAGCTGTTCTGAAGATTAAATGAACTAACATAGCATAGTGAACATGGAAATAAATCTTAGTTATATTTTCTGTGTCCTATGCAGCACCTAGCTCAGGAAATGCCTCATTCACCTAGGCCTTCAGTTAATGGTGACTGCTTGAATGCAGATCCCAAGTGACAAAAGTCACTTGCACTGAGTCAGTAGCAGAGCCCAAGAAAGAAGCCAGGGCTTCTGAGAATCCCACACATGCTCCCACCTGTGCTTGCTGAGTAAGTGGGTCTTCAGATGCCTTTCATAAAATCCTAGAATGGAGGAGAGAAGATGGTAGAATAGAGGAATGGAGGAGGGAAGATGGTGGAGGGTGTTGTTTGTTAAAAAATTATAGCCCTTCTGTGAGAGGGAATTCTATTTGGTTGGTCAGATTTTCAAGTAGTCAGTTGCTTTCTTTTCTGGGTGAAGTTTTATAAAGAAATAGCTACAAATGGGGGCTCAAAAGGAAAGCAACATAGTGTTACAATGGGAAAAAAATGTTCCCAAGTTGAGTTTTAGATGGTTGTTGATTGTTAATTCCCCCTCAGACTCCACAAATCCATCAATCAGTAAGTAATGTTCTAATTCTATGTGTGGTCCTTCCTCAGCTCTTGTCTGTATGTTGAAGGTGGCATGTCATCTATTTCTGTGAGATTCTTGTTTAATAAAGTAGGCAAATCTCTTCCTTGATTGCATAGTGTTGACTTAAGGAAACCTCTGTAATTGCTTCTCTCGTTGATTATTAAACCTGCAGGGGGTGGGGAGAAGGTAAACACCATGAAGTAAATAAGCCTTCTAGGAAATTCTCCTATTTTTCTGTAATTTCCCTCTAGGCCTGCATTACCCCAAATCCTGGAAACTTGCTAGATTTGATGTACCGGGACCCAGCACGATGGTCCTTCACATTCCAGACGTTTTCTTTTTTGAGCCGCCTGAAAGTACAGCTGGAGCCCATCCCTGAGAAAGCCTTACGGGCCAACAGAGCAGTCCAGATCTTTGAGAGGTCTGTGTACAGTGACAGGTAAGACCCTCAACCCGCCCCTCATCAGAGGCCCACGCTCAGCATTGCATGGGCCTCTTCTTGCTCAGACCCTGCGCCACCCTGGTCATTGAACATTGTACTTTAAAAAATTGTTGTCTTTTGCCCTGGCCGGTTTGGCTCAGCGGTTAGCGCATCAGCCTGCGGTCCCGAGAGACCCGGGTTCGGTTCCCGCTAAGGGCATGTACCTTGGTTGCAGTTTGTCCCCGGCCCTGGTCAGTCGTGCGGGTGGCAGCCACTCGATGTGTCCCTTTCACATCGATGTTTCTCTCTCTCTCTCTCTCTCTCTCTCTCTCTCTCCCACTCTACCTGAACAAAAAATGTCCTCAGGTGAGGATAAAAAAAAAAAAATTGTTGTCTTTTTATTTTATTATTATTATTATTTTTATCCTCACCTGAGGACATTTTTCCATTTTTTGTTCAGATAGAGTGGGAGGGAGAGAGAGAGAAACATCAACGTGAAAGGGACACATTGAGTGGCTGCTTACCCACATGACCCATCCAGGGCCGGGGACAAACTGCAACCGAGGTACGCGCCTTTAGTGGGAACCGAACCCGGGTCTCTCTGGACCGCAGGCTGATGCTCTAACTGCTGAGCAAAACCGGCCAGGGCAAAAAAATTGTCTTTTTAAAAGACAGTGCTATACAGATTTGTTAAGATTTCCAGTTCCACAGGGCTATCATATATGTCAAGAAAGAAAATTGTATTTTTAATAAACTAAATGCACTTCATTTCTTGCATTGACACTGATTATGTTTTCCTGTTCTTTCCCGGCACAGAGGCAAGCTGGTAGCTACCTAATAGAAACATTACATGCTAAAAGGCACAGACTAGACACTTAAGAAGCAGTGTGTGTTCTAGGAAACCAAGTGAATTGGTGGTTGGTTATTACCTTGAAGAAGAAAGCAGACAGAATTAAAAATTCGTGTTTCTAAAATGATATGAGAGATATATTCATCCTTCTTTTATTCTTCAAGAGAGAATTTCTAAGAAGAAATAGCACATCTGTGAAATTGGCTTCAGTTTCAGATTTATTCTTTGACCCCTTGTCATGTGACAGGGCTCATTGCTGGCCCGAGTCTGTAATGGACTTCAATGGCCTATGTTGGGTCATGGGAAGGGTATTGCCCTGACCACCTGAAGGAGTGAGATGTGGAGTCACTTTTTTTTTTCTCAAATCCTCATCCAAGGATATTTTTCCATTTGTTTTCAGATAGAGAGGGAGGGAGGGGGAGAGAGAGAGAAAGAAACTTTGATGTGAGAGAGACACATCGACTGGTTGCCTCCCTCATGACCCTGACCAGGGCCGGGGACTGAACCGCAACCGAGGTACATGCTCTTGACCAGAATCGAACCCTCTGCTCTTTGGTCTGAGGGCCGACGCTCCAACCACTGAGTTGCACTGGCCAGGGCTGTAGTCGGTGTTAATGAAGGCTAGCAGCTAGCTTGGGAACTCAGCTCATCTGTTCCGTAGGAGCTAGTCCTGCCAGGCTCCGGAATTCCTGGCTATGCAGGAGACAAGTGAGGGTGCCTTGATCTGGATGGTGCTGTTTTGTTTTATTTTGATCCGAAGGCTGTGAATGACCTGTGTCAGTGTGAAATGGTGGTTTAAAGCATGATGGTCTGGCCCTGGCCGGTTTGGCTCAGCGGTTAGAGCATTGGCCTGCTGTCCAGAGAGACCTGGGTTCGGTTCCCTCTGGGGGCATGTGCCTCGGTTGCAGTTTGTCGCCGGCCCTGGTTGGTTGTGCAGGTGGCGACCACTCGATGTGTCCCTTTCACATCTGTGTTTCTCTCTCTCTGTTCCTCTCTCTCCTTCCCACTGTACCTGAACAAAAAATGGAAGAATGTCCTTGGGTGAGGATAATAAAAAAATAAAAATAAAAAATAAAAGCATGATGGTCTGTCTTAAGCCCCTTTGAGTTTTAAATGGAAAATGTAGCATTTTCATTGTGCATTCACTTCTGAAGACACTAAGTTGGTTACCTATTTAATTCCAAGTTAGACAACAAGGTCTGCTTTTTAGCACTCCCATAAAAGCCTTCTGGAGGGAAAAATAAGGGTACATTTGTACATGTCATGTGATTTGTTTTAATATTACCTAAAATCATGCAACACATGTAAAACAAACCCTCTGGGCTATGCATTCCCTCTCTCTGTACCCCAAGAGAGAGCCTACTCTTGTTTTTTTTTTATCCTCACCCGAGGACATTTCTGCATTTATCGTCAGATAAAGTGGAAGGGAGAGAGGGAGGAAAAGAGAGAGAAAAACATCAATGTGAGAGAGACACATTGAGTGGCTGCCACCCACACGACCCCAACTGGGGCCGGGGACAAACTGCAACCGAGGTACATGCCCTTAGTGGGAACCAAACCCGGGTCTCTCTGGACCGCAGGCCGATGCTCTAACCGCTGAGCAAAATCGGCCAGGGCGAGCCTACTCTTTTTAAGAGCTAAATATTTGTGAATTACAGATGCTTGGGCTCTAGATTTTGGTTCTTTTTCACCTGTTGGGTATACTGCTTCCTGTTTTCCTCTCCCAAGCCATGCCTCCTGGACTAGGAAGATGAATTACATAACCACCTTTGTTACTTGGAAATATACTCACCATCAGTTTTCATTTCCAGCCCTTTAGTGAGGTAGGCATGTGAGAGACCCCCTCAGAAATAGAAATACATTGTTTAGAAGCTGCAAGTTCTTATTTACTTGGAAGAGATGAAAATTGATTACACTATAGGCAGCTACCACATCCTAGATGTTTTCTTCAGAGGGAGTAATTTTGAGACAGAGAGGATAACTAATTACACATTCTAGTCCTGATGGTAATTTATAGAGCCTTTCCACTTTTAAAAATTCATTCATGTGTGCATTCGCTCAGCACCGATACGTTGAGTGCTGCCTGTGTTCAGACACCAGGCCAGGCCTTGGGGCTGCAACAGGAAGCAAAACAGACCCAGTCCCTGCCTCCACAGGACCTTAGTCTAACAGGGAACTCCGAGACTGCACATGTGCTCATGTGTTGTATGTGTTCCAAAGGAAGAGCACAGGTTGTTTGGGAGAGTGAATGACAGGGAGAAAGAAATCGAAATCTTTTCTATTTGAATGAAAAGAAACAATAGCATGTGGTTTTAGAGCAGGGACCCTGCCACCTAGGTCCTTAAGTTGATTCTTTGTAGCCCGTGCTTTCAGATGGTAGGAGTACCTCCACTCAGCGTTCAGCACCACACCCTCTACTCACGCCCTCCCCATCACTACCAGCTTTGGAGAAATGAAGAAGTGCTCATCCTCAGGAATGGCGAGGGCCCTTTTGTAGGGCTTATTAACAGATAATTAATTCCTCTTTATAAGATCTTAATTTCCATGTTACCTGTGAAGAAGCTGAAAACATTTTTCAAAAATTGAGTTAACAGAAGTCATCTCTTTTTACTTTTAGCTCGGCTATAGCTAACATTCCAGCCTGGGCGAGTTGACCTCTGGAGCTCTCAAATTGGTTTCTTCATAGCTAAGCAAAGACGTAGTTATAATAATAATAACCAAGAGGTCTTGAATACTGTATGCCATTCAGTTCTCTAAGTACTTGTGAGTATTATGTGCAAGCCTCACAACAATTCTACTCTTCTCTCTTTAAACAGAGGAAGAAACAGGTTGAGAGAGTTTGATGATGTGCCCATGGTGACACAGCTAGTGACTTTTTGGAGCTTAGGATCAGACTCAGGAATGTGATTCTGCAACCCATTCTCTTAATCACAGCACAACCATGCAGTGTACACTTTCCGGAGCCATTCCTACACAAGGATTCGGAATTTCATTTTCTCAGAAGTGGCCAGTTGCTGAGCGTTGCCTTAGAAACTGCAGTTCATTGTTTAGGATGTGAATTGTGTTTTGTATCAAGATGCCTGAGGTTTGAAAGCAGAATTGATTCCCTTGTGAAGCCATGGTTTCTCGTTAGCTCTGATTTCCTAGTTACCAGATGCTCCTTTAGTTGTAGAAGTAAGCAAGGGGCAAACCTAGTTTATTTTTATTTCTATTTCTATTTCTTTTTGTTAATCCTCACCCGAGGTTATTTTTTCCATTGATTTTTAGATACAGTGGAAGGGAGGGAGGGGGAGAGAGAGAGAAACATGGATTGGTTACCTCCCACACTCTCCCCGACTGGGGCCAGGGATCAAACAGGCAACCCAAGTACATGCCCTTGACCAGGAATCGAACCTGAGACTCTTTGGTGCACATGCCAGCGCTCTAACTGCTGAGCCACACCGGCCATTTAGATTTCGCTTTCTTGTATCTAGATTAGAGGCTCAGCAGCAGCTGAAGCAAGTAAATAAGAGCTCACGTGTGCTGTGGAGGAAAGTCTGCTTTCTTGGTAATCCTGCTTCAGAGGTGATGCCACTTCTCAGCTAAACGGAAGGCTGGCTGGGCAGCCTGGAGACTCAAGAGCCCTCAGTCTTTGAGTGAAGTGTGGTGGGTGCTTTGTGTTAGGCTGGTTTTGTTTGGGGGCTCCTACAATACTACCGAGGAAATCGGAACAGTGTGGCTGCATGCACCATACTCTGTACATCCTGACTGGTTTCCAGTAGGAAAGATTGCTAGCGACCAGTGATAAATACGCTTCTAGGGCCCTTTCTTCTGGTGGATCCGCCCATCTGGAGAGCTGTGATTCTAGCCTCTAAAGTCCAGATGCTATTTTCCATCTTAGTGTTGAGCAAGGAGGGGGGTAGAGGTAAAAATTTAGATTTCTTCAAAATTGAAAAGGAGCTAAAAGGGTTAAATGGTTTGAACAGACATGGAGCAAGTTGGTTATTGATTTTTCTGCTTCTTTCTTTCTTTTGCCCATTCCATTTCCCTTTCTTCTCCCCTCCCCCTGCCCCACTTATATTTCCAACCAGGTATATCTTTGCAAAGACTCTGTTTGAAAATGGTTCCCTCAGTGACGTGGAGTGGCATATCTATCAGGACTGGCATTCTTTTCTCCTGCAGGAGTTTGCCAGCCGGCTGCAATTACATGGCTTCATCTACCTTCAGGCTACTCCTCAGGTAATGCCGAACCCAACACCTTTGACTTTAGGGCCATATGAACTTCAGAGGAGATGGTCCCTAAGCCCCTGATTTATTTCCTGGTTAAAGAAATCTGATGATGGGTATTGTCTGGAGCACAGAGAGCAGTAGGTAAACACCCTCCCATTCTAGCTTTGAGCACCCGGTTTCCCACAGGCTTTCTGCAGCAGAGGGCTAAAGCGATCGACTGTCCATAGAAAGCATCCCTCTTGATGTAGCAATAAGGTAGAGCAAATTGAGTGTTATCTTTATCACCCAGGGTTCACGGGTTGGACCCTTTGACCAGAGAACCTAGCTAATTGCCTCAGCCTTTCCCTCCCTCTGTGGTGGTCCTGACGGTTTCCTGAGTAGGATGCACTGCCCTGATTTGTAGCCCATTTTGAACCTTGAGGATATCACTGGTAAGGCAGATGGACTGCAGAAGTTGCTTTCTATGACTCTGACGTGGACCATGGAGCCCCACAGAATAGGGGGATGCAATAGAGGGAGCACCAAAGTCTCTGGAGACAGCCATGGTCCTGGGCCTCCGCTGACTGGCAGTGACCTTGGGCAGCCCCTGGAAACCTTTTCCTGGAGGGGTTCTTGTCTGTTAAATCCAGTGGCTTAGACTGATGCTCTCTAAGGGCTCTTCTGGGTGGGATTCTGAGTCAGGCAGGAGGTATTCTTTTTTTTCTTCTTTTTTTATTGATTTTAGAGAGAGGAAGGGAGAGGGAGAGAAAGATGAAAACACTGATGAAAGAGAACATCAATTGGCTGCCTCCCGCATGCTCTCCGCTGGGGATTTGGCCCACAACCTGGGCATGTGCCATGACGAGGAATTGAACCAGCAACCTCTTCGTGCATGGATCGATGCTCAACCACAGAGCCATGCTGGCTGGGCAATTCTTGAGAGATGTGTTGCTCTCAATCTTTGAGACACATATGTCATATATAGTCAAATTCCAGATATATCACATAATCTTGGGAGGGAAAACTCTCTTCAGGCTAGAGGCCTTGCTTTTTTGCGACAGGACTGAGCCTGGTGGACAGGAGGAAGCCTGCGAGCTGACTGAGTAGGTCTGAGAACAGGCGGGAGAGCCGTCCTGCAGGCTCACTGGAGCCAGAGAGGAGGGGACGGAAAGAAGAGCCTCACTGAAGGAAGTGGCAGCCAGGAAAGAGGCCAGAAGTGTAATGGTACCAGATGTCAGGGTCTTGGTGTCCGGAGTTTCTAGAGATAGTGAGGCAGAAACTAGATCATAGAAGGAAATAAAGAGATTCCACAGAAATAATTAGGGTCTAAGGTTTAAAGTGAAACTGAACTAGGAATTCAGTGAAGCCGTGGGCGGAGAACCCTCGGTGAAAGAGGTGAGCTGAAACTAGATTCATTCACTGTAAGTTGACTGGCTGGGTCACATTTATAGGACTTCTTTTCGTTGGTCCTCATTGCCTGGGAACATTAATAGAGAGGCATATTATGAGGGTGATTATACTTGGGGGGTGGAAATCGGTGTCAGTGATCAGGGGAAAAGAAGATCCCTGCCAGAGAGGATGGCTTAAAGTAGCTGAGTGTAGGGTTCAGGGTGGGAGGAAAGTCCTGGTCCCATGAGGACTCATGGCCTGGGCCAAGTTGGAGAGAGGCTGAAGACTTGGAACTGAGTGAAGATTGTAGCTGGAGTGTGCAGAGGTGACTGGTCTCTAGTAGGAGTCGCAAGAAGCAGTGGGTTGAGGGGCTGAGCTTTAGAAGAACCTAGCCTCTTCCAGGAGAAACAACTTCCACATGATCAGTTCAGTGCCATGAAGATGGGTGTTGGTGACAAGGAAGAGGGTGGGCTCATTCCTGAGAGCGAACCAGAGCGCTTGGCTAGCTGCAGAGGCTTTGTTTCTGGGGAGCTGAGAGTGAACTGAGACCCAGCAAGGAAAGCAGGAAAGGCTTGCTCACTTTGTGCCTCCGATGACTTTGTGAGAAGGGGCAGTGATGATGACGGTGGTGGTAATTACTGTTATGATGGTGGTGTGGCTGATACATCTTTTCGGAGAGACTAATTACAATATTTTAGCTGGGGAAGAATGAGGGAAATTGAAGGGTTATTGCAACTTAATGGTAGAAAAAGGAAAATAGTTTAATTTGTTTTTAGATTGGTTATGATTTTGGTGCTGATTTGATGGCATTAGATCCAGGAATCCTGATAGCCCTTCCCTGAAGTCACCTTGACCTCTTCTGTGAGATTAAGAGATAACTAATCCAAGAGAAGAGCAGAACAGAGGTAAAACATCAATGTAAAAAGCTGTGCAAGTGGTCAGTGCTCTAGCGCAGAGCCCTCGTAAATACTGAGTTCAGAGCATGTGAGATGGACCTAAGTAGGACCTTTTGCTCCTTTCCACCTTCTTCCCTACATTCTAAAAAACAAGCAAGCCAATGATAAAAAAAAAAATATTAGAAGAGAAATGGCTGGGCCTCAGTGTCCCCACCCAACCCCATGATCTCGGAAGAGAGAGTGCAGCCGGACAGGGTGCCTCAGAGAGCCAGGCCCTGCCTGGCACTGTTCACAGGATGGAGACAGTGTGTGAAGACGTCTGGAATCAGATGGCCCCTGGGTTTGGGAAGCACAGTGGCCTGTCCACCAGCAGTCACCATCTAATTGCTGTCTCTGCCTTCCGCAGTCTGAGCAGGAGCTTTTCCTGGGGGAGGCAGATGGGAAGAAGGGTTCCTCCCTTTCCATTTGTATATATACTACCTTTTCCTGTTTACATTCAGGTGTGTCCTTCCCATGGGGACTGAGGTGAAGAGGGACCCGACTAAAGCACTATCTGTACAGGATTTTTTTAAAAAGAATGTTTGTACATGTCAGTAAAGCAAGAATAATGCCAAGTTCTCAAAATAGGAGTTTGCCTAGACTTCAGCAGGGAAGACAAGAAAACTACAGGACATTGAAAGAAGAAATAGAGGAAGATATAAAAAAGTGGAACCACATACCTTGTTCATGGATTGGAAGAATTAACATCATTAAAATGTCCATATTACCCAAAGCAATCTATAGATTCAAACAATCCCCATTAAAATACCAACGACATACTTCACAGAACTAGAACAAATACTTCAAAAGTTCATATGGAACCAAAAGAGACTTCGAATAGCCACAGCAATCTTGAAAAAGAAGAACAAAGTTGGAGGGATCACATTACCAGATTTCAGGTTATACTACAAAGCCACTGTACTCAAAACAGCCTGGTACTAGCACAAGAACAGGTATATAGACCAGTGGAACAGAACAGAGAACCCAGAAATGGACCCAAGGAATATGCTCAATTAATATTTGACAAAGGTGGCAAAAGCATACAGTGGAGTAAAGACAGCCTCTTTAATAAATAGTGTTGGGAAAATTGGACAGCTATATGCAAAAAAAAAAAAAAAAAAGAAAGAAAGAAAGAAATTATACCATCAACTTACACCGTACACAAGAATAAACTCAAAATGGATAAAAGACTTAAATGTGACTCATGAATCCATAAAAATTCTAGAAGAAAAGGTAGGCAACAAAATTTTGGACATCATACACAGCAGGATTTTCACTGATACATCACCTAAGACAACAGAAACAAAGGAGAAAATGAACACCTGGGGCTACATCAAACTCAAAAGCTTCTGCACAGCAAAGATACAATCATCAAAATGGAAAGGCAACCCACTGTATGGAAGAGCATAATTGCCAATGATATATCAGATAAGGGGTTAATTTCCAATATATATAGAGTGCTCATACAACTCAACAAAAGGAAAACAAAGAACCCAATTAAAAGATGGGCAGAGGAGCTAAATAGACACCTCTCCAAACAGGACATACAAATGGCTAAGAGACATATGAAGAAATGCTCAACATCACTAATCATCAGAGAAATGCAAATTAAAACAACAATGAGGTATCACCTCACACCTGTCAGAATGGCCGCCATCAACAAATCATCAAACAACAAGTGTTGGCGAGGGTGTAGAGAAAAGGGGACTCTAGTACACTGCTGGTGGGAATGCAGACTGGTGCAGCCACTATGGAAAACAATATAGTGTTACCTCAAAAAATTAAAAATTGAACTTTCATTTGACCCAGTGATCCCACTTCTAGGAATATACCCTAAGAAGCCTGAAACACCAATCAGAAAGAATATATGTACCCCATGTTCATAGCAGCACTATTTACAATAGCTAAGATCTGGAAACAGCCCAAATGTCCATCAGTAGACGAATGAATAAAAAAGCAGTGGTACATATACACAGTGGAGTACTGTGCAGCTGTAAGAAAGAAAGATCTTTTATCCTTTGAGACAACATGGAGGGACCTGGAAAGTATTATCCTAAGCGAAACAAGCCAAACAGAGAAAGACAAGTATCATATGATCTCACTTATTTGTGGAATATAATGAACATAAAAGTCTGAGGAATGGGGTAGTCCCAGAGATGTGGAAGTGGGGTACAGACTGACAATCCCAGAAGAGGGGGTGGTGGGGGAGAGATAAACCACAGAACTTACATGCATGTATGCATGAACAGTGGACATGGACAACAAAGCTGGGGACAGGGCAGGGAGGGAGGGGGAGGGGGAAATCAGTGGGAGAAAAAGGAGAAACATCTGTAACAAAAAATTAATTAAAAAAAAAAATGTTTGTAACCATGTCAGTAAAGGAAGAATTATTCCAAGTTCTCAAAATAGGAGTTCACCTAGACTTCAGCAGGGAAGACAAGCTTGCTCTGTTAAGCAAATTAATAGTAAAAAGGGAAATGTTAACTTTTTTAATAGGAGAGACCTTTTGCATCAGTGTTTGCCTGCCAGCAATAAATGAATAAATATAGCTTTTATAAAAAATTGTTCTGCCCTTGTGTAGAATTGAAAATATAAAGTCACAGTTTAAAAAATATGCATTTTTATTAATTCTGATAATATTCTTTTTCTCAGAGAGGAAACAGGTAGCTTTGCTGTGTTTAGAAATCCTGAGTTTACCTTGCTGGCGGGCACTTAAAGTGGTCAGCCTCTAAGGAGGCAGTTTGGTGGTGCGCACTGGCAAGGACACATGCTTTTCCACCCACTAATTATGCTCCTTGGAGCTTACTCCATGAATATGCTCCCATGCGGGCAAATGGCTCATGTGCAAGGCAGCATTGTTTGTAAGAGCAAATTAACGGAAACAGCCCAAGTAGAATATGTAGCAGGACACCTTTTACATATATGTTTTTCAAAAAAGATGGGGGTAAGAATGTGTATATATGAAAAAATTTCTGAACGTATACAAAAAATTAGTAGCATGGTTGGTTGGGGTGGAGAACTAGGTAGCTGGAAGTCAGGGGTGTAAAGCTGTGTGATTGAGGAGGGAAGGGAAGAGGGGAAGTGCCTTTGCGGGGGTCTTGAAGCCATCGGCTGTAGGGTGGGGATGTACGGCAGAAAAATAGAAGGAAAGAAAAAGCCAGGTGCAGAGTGAAGGAAAGTAGAAATGAAAAAGATAAAAGTAGGAGAAAAAGGTGAATGGACAGAGAGAGACTAAGTCAGATATTAAAACATTAAATGAATACATTCAACAAATACTTATTGACCTCCTACTCTGCCAGGCCCAGGGCTCAGCCCTGGACAAGATGGATTCTGGCCTGCCTTGTGTGCTCCCCCAGTCCCTGTGCCCTTGGAGCACCTTGTGCGGGCCTCCCTCTGTCACCTGATACAGCTAAAATGCCACTGGTGGTCTGTGTTTGCCCAGGGTCTACACAGCACCCGGCTTGCAGAGTGGTGCTCAGTGAGCTGGTACCAGAGATAAAGGGGAGCTCCTGTTCCTTCCAGGAAACACCTGTTGGACTGTTGGAGCCCAACTGCTCTCTCCCTTATCTGACTGCTGCACTTCAATCCAGACCTCACAGTTTAGCACTTGAGTCTCTGTTTTGCATACTTTGTTTTACTTACTATCTAACTACATTATAGAATTCCTAGTACAAGGACTTCTGAGTTTGGGACGATTATTGACTCAAGGGTGAGGGAGAGACCAGAAGGGATACGTTCTAAGAGTATTAACATGTTAGATCTCTGTTAATCAGTTTGCAAAATTGGACATAAGATCATAAATGAAATCTTTGTATATGACTTTGTCTCCTTAGAGGAACAATAGGACGAGGGAAACAGCAAAGACTGTCTTTGGGAATATTGTGCATTATATTTGAGGATAAAGTTTTTTAAGTGTTTGGAAGAGGGAAGTCATGAATCAATGGGTTAATCCACCTGTTCTTCCAGGACAGATGATATTGAATAATGAAATGTTTCCCAGGCAGAAGGAAGGCAGTTCAGGCAAAGCAAACATTTGGAGCAAAAGTTTGGATGAGTGAAAGAGCGAGGGCTGCCCTGCAGGCAGGTCGAATCTGGTAAAGCAGTGAGTCCAGGAGGGGAGCTAAGGAAATTGGGAGTGGAGACAGGAGGGGTGGCCGGCCTCTGGGAATGGCCTTGTGACAGGTAGAGTGTGACATTCTCTGAGCCATTGTGCTTCAGACTTTTCTACCATGTGAAAGGAGAATGGAAATACGCACACTCTGGAAGGAGGGAGGGAAGGAGAGTTAGTCCCAAACCTCACTTTTTACACTTCTTTATCTTTGACCTACGCAGATTTTGCATTCTGCGGCAATGAGTGTTTGCTATGATTTGAAAGAGATGTTTCTGATTACTTACCCTTTCGTAAATATGATGCAGCTCGTTTTCCTTAAACCCGGGGTGGTAGCTGTAGGTAGGCAATAAGGAGCCTGTGAAGTATTTTAGGCAAGGAGAGTACGACCATTTTACTGGACTCCTATGGAAGGGTGGACTGAGTGGACAGCCTGGGAGGAAAGAACAGCTGGACCAGGAACTTGCCCTGCCTTACCTCGGTGAATCCTCACAGCAGCCTGTGGGTGTGGAGGGCGAGGAAGAGGAGACTCACAAAGACTGCACTGCTAGTGCGTGGTGGAGACAGGACTTAATCCTGGACTTTCTGCCGTGAAGGCCTGGGCCCTTTCCATCCACTTCATCTCCAGGAGGCAGAGAGCCAGAGACTTGCTGTAGTTCAGGTGAAAAGTGATGGAGACCTGACCAGGGCAGAGGTGAGGGAGAAGCCAGGAAAGATTAACTGGAGAGCGATTAAAAAGCAGTCAATGTCTTGGATGTGGTGGGGAGAAGGTAAAAGAAAGGCAATTCTAGATTCTGGGTGGATGATGTTTGCCCTTAACCTGTGATTGAGTAAGAAAACAAGACCGCAGAAGCAAGGTCTTGGCATATAGTGCCCAGGATGGACAACATGAGTTGGCCTGAAAGCCCCCCACGACTGCATTGTCACAGCTAAGAAAACAACTGAGCCCTGGCCGGTTTGGCTCAGCGGTTAGAGCGTCGGCCTGCGGTCCTGAGAGACCCGGGTTCGGTTCCCGCTAAGGGCACATACCTCGGTTGCAGTTTGTCCCCGGCCCTGGTTGGTTGTGCGGGTGGCAACCACTCGATGTGTCCCTTCACATCGATGTTTCTCTCTCTCTCTCCCTTCCTCTCTCTCCCTCCCACTCTACCTGAACAAAAAATAGAAAAATGTCCTTGGGTGAGGATTAAAAAAAAAACAACTGAGCTCACTGGGGCCTGGGAATTGTCTTTCAGGTTTGTTTGAAGAGACTACACCAGAGGGACAGGGAAGAAGAGAGAGGAATTGAGCTGGCGTACCTCGAGCAGCTTCATAGTCAACACGAAGCCTGGCTTGTTCACAAGACCACCAAGTAAGCAGAGGAGAGAGCAGCAGCAGACAGGCCTGCCCCCTCCAGCCAGGCCTGGGACACAGTCAGTGTCCCGTGCATGTCCCTCAGCACGCAGCTCCCCAGAAGGTTCCGCATGTGCTGGAAGCACTGGGAAATGTTGAGCATTATTCAACTCACAGTTAATACTGGGTGCAATCTGCATATTCCACGAGACTTTATTAGATTCTATTTCCCCAGCTTTCTGTTTTTCAAGTTCCACTGGGTTGAACATGGTGATTGTTGATGATGATATAGTTGGCTCAGGGTAAGGGGCTGAAAAATTTTAGAGAAATTGAGTTGACATTCCTGGTCTTGGCCTTTCCTCCCTTCAGGCATGGTATGCTGTCCACTTAAAATATTTGAGGCTCTTGCCTTTAGGATTAGTCTTAAGACTAAAGAAAAATTTCAGCCTTCATCTTTCCAGCTAACTTGATTGAATTTTTTTATGACTAAATGATATTTCTTTTTTTATTAATCTTCACCCAAGGATATGTTTGTTTATTTTAGAGAGAGAAAGAAAGAAACATCAATCAGTTGCCTCTCCTGTGCACCCTGACTGAGGATCGAACCTGAAACCTGGGTATGTGCCCTGACTGGGAATCAAACCTACAGCCTTTTGGTGTATGGAACAACACTCCAGCCAACTGAGCCACCAGGCCAGGGCTAAATGATATTTCTCCTTTTTTCTTGTTTTTTTTAGGATATTTTAAATTGATTTTTAGAGAGAAGAGAGAGAGAGACATCCATGTGAGAGGGAAACATTGATTGGCTGCCTCCTTCTTGCACACCCCTTACCGAGGGTCAAGCCACAGCCTGCCCCCACCCAGAACCAGCAAACTTTCAGTGCCCAGCTAATCAGCCACACCGGCCAGGGCTAAATGATACTTCTTGAGGTGACAGAATTTTGTTGCATCCTGGTCACAATTTAAAAACAAATGAATTGGTTTATTTATTTATTTATTTATTTTTACTACTTTTGTTGTTGTTAATCCTCACCTGAGGATATGTTCCCATTAATTCTTTTTTTTTTTTTTTTAATCCTCACCCGAGGACATTTTTACATTTTTTTTTTTTTTTTTTTTTTTTTATCCTCACCTGAGGATATTTTTTCCATTTTTGGTACAGATAGAATGGGAGGGAGAGAGAGGAAGGGAGAGAGAGTGAGAAACATCGATGTGAAGGGACACATCGAGTGGCTGCCACCCGCACGACCAACCAGGGCCGGGGACAAACTGCAACCATGGTACATGCCCTTAGCGGGAACCGAACCCGGGTCTCTCCGGACCGCAGGCCGACGCTCTAACCGCTGAGCCAAAACGGCCAGGGCTCCATTTTTTTATTCAGACAGAGCAGGAGGGAGAGAGAGAGAGGGAGAGAGAGAGAGAGAGAGAGAGAAACATCGATGTGAAAGGGACACATCGAGTGGCTGCCACCTGCATGACCCAACCAGGACCGGGGACAAACCGCAACCGAAGTACATGCCCTTAGTGGGAACCGAACCTGGGTCTGTCTGGACCGCAGGCCGACGTTCTAACCGCCAAGCCAAACCGGCCAGGGCCTATTCTTAAATAGAGTGGAAGGGAGGGAGAGGGAGAAAGAAAAACATCCATGTGAAAGAGACACATCGATTGGTTGCCTCCCACATGATCCCGACTGGAGCCGGGGATCAAACCTGAAACCCAGGTATTTATTTATTTTTACTTTTAATTGAATTTATTGGAGTGACATTATTTAATATAATTATATAGGTTTCAGGTGTACAATTCTATAATACATCATCCGTATATTGTATTGTGTGTTCACCACCCCAAGTCAAGTCTCCTTCCATCACCATTTATCCCCCTGTACCCTCTTCTGCCTCCCTCAACCTCCCTTTTCCTCTGGTAATCGCCATACTGTTGTCTGTGTTTATGAGTTTTTGTTTGTTTGTCTGTCTTACTTAATCCCTTTACCTGTTTTACCCAGCCCCATATGAATGCTTTTTTAAAACTGCTGTTTATGTGCCATTTCACTAAGAAGCCATGTGACTTTAGATCTGTTCCCTGAATTATTAAGACTTGGTGAGTATGTGAAGCTTGGCTCAGCTTTCTTTTTTCTGTTCCCTGCATGTTCATGCTTCTTACAGGCTCCACTTTGAGACTCTGCTGAACATTCCAGTGCTGGTGTTGGATGTCAATGATGATTTTTCTGAAGAAGTAACCAAACAAGAAGAACTCATAAAAAAGGTGGGGAGGACTTGAACTACTTTTAATGGCTTCCTTTGTTGCACTTTTATCTTTGCTTCAAGCCTCAATATAATGAGTCTTGTGCTTTATGCCTCAAATTGCATTTCACATTCCAAAGCCCATGGAGCCTTGTACAGTTACAAATGTAATCCCAATTTTCTAAAGTATTTTGGTCTAATAATTGTTAAATAATTGACTTGTAATACATGCTTCTCAACTAACTTCCTCCTCTAAGGTATTCTAGATCTAGGGAAATGAGCCTTCTGGATTCTGTTCCCAGCTCTGCCACCTGACACCATGTGGCCCTGGGCAGGTCACATTTCCTCTCCATACCTATTTTCCCTTCTTTACAGAAACTCATGGGCTTGGCACCTTTGCATTGTGTATGGACTATTGTATAGTCTGCCGAAAATGTGAAATTTAACTTTTGGGTTTTCTCTTTCCCACAGGTGAACACCTTTGTAAATGCTCTGTAACCAGTGCCAGGTTGTTGTGGCTGTGATCTGGGCCCTCGGAGTTTCTGAAGCTGGAAACCACCTTCCATCCCACCCCGTCTCCTTCACTCCGGGAGTGCTCTGCCTCTTCACTGGGCGGTTTCCGACCTCGGACTTGGCCGTGCTCTTCCTTTGTGTCTCAGAGTCTTCTCAAATAAAGTGTATTTAAGTTTTGCTTAGTTTGCTAATCCCGTTGTTAATTTATTTCAGCTTGTATCTGTTGGTGCCCGCCCTGAACTCCCCTCTAAACTAGCCATTTTCACCTGGGGAAACTCTTAGCTTTTCTTCTTGAATCCTTCCCCAGTCAGACATGCCAGGGAATGAACTGCTCCCAGGACCCTCACCAGCCCTGCCTTGGGCATGAAGAAGGGAAGTAAGTGGCTCAGGAGTGGGCGGGTGCTCAAGCGGGTGCTCAAGCGTGAGCTCCCCCCGCACCCCAGCCAGGAAATGGAGCCTGAACTTTAGGAAACTCGGAGCTCCTTCATCTCTTCCCTTCCAGCACTGTTGGTGTGGAGGACGGGGTGGAGATTTCGACCTTCGTCCTAAAGCTGAAGAACCTGGACACGATTTTAAAAGGGAGGTGAAGAGAGAACAAATCAGGAGCCCAGAAGCTCGGCGTCTAACACTTAGGGTTTGGCATCCTGGCACTGTAGCTGCTCCAAAACCCTCACCCAGTGAGTTTCGGGTGACCTAGGTGGAGGGATCTGTCTATGCCGGAAAGTAGGAAAAACGTTTTATGCTGCATTTAAAGCTTCAAGGACAATGTATTGTTAGAGAAAAATACATGGCTTGATAAAAGCAAAGTGTTCCATTGCAAGAAGCCTGCAGGTCCGCGAGTCACTGAGAGCAGAATTCCTGCCTGAGCCCGGGACCGCTGCGGAGGCACCCAGCAAACGGAGGGGGGCCGGGGACGCAGACTGTCCCGGGACCGCTGCGGAGGCACCCAGCAAACGGAGGGGGGCCGGGGACGCAGACTGTCCCGGGACCGCTGCGGAGGCACCCAGCAAACGGGGGCGGGGGCGGGGGGAGGCCGGGGACGCAGACTGTCCCGGGAGATGGAAACCTGCTTTCCTCCTGCTTGGGAAAATGAGTGCGAGACTGCTTTCTAACAAATGTAATGTTTTGAAACAACAAAAAGCATTTTTTTATTCTACTTAAATATTTTAACAGCTTTATTGAGATATAATTCTCATGCCATATACAAGGTACCTATTTAAAGTGAATATTCAGTGGATTTTAGTCTATTCATAGGGTTGTACAACCATCACCACAATCAATTTCAAAATGTTTCATCAGCCCAAGAAGAAATGCCACGCCGATTAGTCAGTCTCCATCTCCCACCCCCAACATCCCCAGTCACCCCAGTCCGGCCCTCGGCAACCACCAATCTTTTTATCTCAGTAGATGTACCTGTTTTTGACATTTCATATAAATGGAATCATAATATGTGGTCTCATGTGACTGGCTTCTTTCATTTTCAAGGCCCACCCATGTTTAGTGTATCAATACTTCATTCTTTTTAATAGCTAAATATTTCAGTTTATGCATATACTATATGCTGTTTGTTCAGTCATCGATGGACATGCGGATTCCACTTTGGCTGTTATGAATAATGCGGCGATGACTATTCACATACAAGTTTTTGTGTGGCTTTATGTTTTAATTTTTCTTAGGGAATGGAATTACTGAGTCAAACGTAAACTCCATGTGTAACTTTTCTAGGAACTGCTAAGCATTTCCAAAGTGGCTGCGCTGTTTTACATTCCCTCTAGCAAGGTATGAGGGGTCCATGTCCCCACACCCTTGCCCACACTTGCTATCTGTCATTTTAATTATAGCCATCCTAGTGGGGGTAAAGCTGTATCTCATTGTGGTTTTGATTTACATTCCCCTGGTGGCTAATGATGTTGAGCATCTTTTTATGTGCTTAGTGGTCATTCATATGTCTTATTTGGAAAAATGCCAATTGAAATCCTTTGTCCATTTTTCATTTGGGTTACTTGGCTTTCGTTGAATTGTAGGAGTGCTTTATATATTCTGGATACAAGTCCTTTTCAGATACATGATTTACAAATATTTCCTCCCATTCTGTAGGTTGTATTTTCATTTTGCTACTGTCCTTTGAAGCACAAAAGTTTAATTTTGATGAAATCAAATTTATTTTGTCACTTGTCTTTTTGGCATCATGTCTAAGAAAGTTTTGAATAACCCAAGGTCACAGACACCTATGTTTACTTCTAAGAGCCATGTGGTTTTAGCTCTTCCATTAGCACAATGATCCACTTTAAGTTAATTTTTGTGTACAGTGTAAGAAAGGGATTCAACTTCATTCTTTTGCATGTGCAAATCTAGTCCCAACATCATTTTTAGAAAGATTAATCTCTCCCAGTGAATTGTCTTGGCACAATGTGGAAAAACTCTCCCACTTGTCCTTGTGTGTGTTTGCTCCTTCAGGCTTTGGGCAAGACCGGGAGTGAAACTACGGAGTTAGGTATGTTTTGGAAATGCACTGGTTTTGGTCCTTTGACTTTAAGTGTTCTTAGCTTTAACATTTAATTCCCATTTACGTTTCCAGGAACCACTAGTGTAGAAATCACCTGTAAACCCAGAGTAAGAGCACTCAGCCCTCACCCTTCATTCATCAACAAGGATGAGTATCTGCCATGTGCTAGAGACCAAGGAGTTAAGGGTCGACAGGACAGAAGGCAGACCTGGTCTTCACCTCACAGAACTTGTCATGTAACGGGGAAGGTGATAGACACTGAACAAGTAATTGCAGGTGTCGTGAGCGTTTCAAAAGGAGACATACAGGTGTACTCTGGGGCCCGTGACAGAAGGGGCCAGCGTAATCCGGGACAGCCCGCTGACAAAGGTGCTGAATTCTGAAGATGAATGGGGTACTCGGGCAGAGAAAAGAGTCATGTGCCTCGGTCTTCACGTGAGAGTGAGACATTCGGCCCAGACCGTCGGAACCAGGTGGGGTTAGTGAGTCTAACAAGAACGTGCTCCTTTCCTTGCCACATTCTTCGCTTAGCCTGAAAACCCACAGCTCCAGCAATTATTTCCATTCGTGGACATTGCCTTTTGGAAGGAGAATGGTCTCTAAGATAGTCAGAGCCATCAACAGCCTCACCTGGGTGGAAGAATTTACCATTTACCAATTTGGCGGCTGAGATGGTCTGGAGAGAGTAAATATTTGAATGAGGAGCAGTGGTTTTGACCTTACGTCTCAGGGGAAGGAGAGGTGTGGAGGACTGTGCTGTTAGGCCAGTCTGGGCGCTGTCTCCCAGAGTCAAATCACTTCAATTGACATGTAAAAATATCTACATATCTACATTTCTTTCTGGCTTACAAGGTGCTGTTCAGGAACTAGAATATTACCTTGATGGGCTTATAACAGATTGAGGTTGTGAAAGGTCTCAAACTCAAAAGGAAGGGAGAAGGTGCGGGTTTCAGACGAAAGAGGCGATTTGTTTTATGCACAGGCTAGACTCAGGGAAAAGGAAGTAAATGTGCTTTAAATTTCAGACTGTTTCACTTCCTTCAGCCCCCTATTTTTATTATTAATTTATTTTTGTTACAGATGTTTCTCCTCCCCACCCTCCTCGCAGACACCCTCCTCCCTATCCTGCCCCACATTAAGCACTGTTCTCTATGTGCATTGGTTATGCATACATGCATAAAAGTTCTTGGGTTCATCTCCTCTATCCCCCCCACCCCCCTACTCTGAGCCTGTTTTGTTCATTATATTTTTCATTATATTCCACAAATAAGTGAGATCATGTGGTATTTGTCTTTCTCTGACTGGCTTATTTCGCTTAATAATACTCTCCAGGTCCCTCCATGTCATCTCAAAGGTAAGAGATCTTTCTTTCTGTAAGCTGCATAGTACTCCATTGTGTATATGTACCACTGCTTTTTATCCACTCATGTACTGATGGACACTTGGGCTGTTTCCAGATCTTAGCTATTGTAAATTGTGCTGCTATGAACATAGGGGTATATATATTCTTTCTGATTGGGGTCTCAGGCTTCTCAGGATATAGTCCTAGAAGTGGGATCACTGGGTCAAATGGCAGTTCCATTTTTAATTTTTTGTGGAAACACCATATTGTTTCTCATAGTGGCTGCACCAGCCCTCCCTTTAAAGAGCAGGCAGTTTAAATCTCCAGACCACTTGCTCCTCCTTGGAACTTGTTCCTTTGTTGGTCTCTTCTGGCTGTTCCACTGCTTGGCGTCTCCCTTTCTGTCTCCTTGGCTGACTCATTTGCCAAAGTGTTGGAGGCTCCCATGCACCCTTGACTCATTTCTTTCCTCACTCCTCTGGGTGACCTTGAATTCATTTTCTATTGCTGCCATCTCAAATGACCACAAATGTGGCTGAAAGCAGCACAGACCTATTACCTCACAGTTCTGTCGGTCAGAACTCTGATAGGATTCTCACTGGGCTGAAATCATGATCAACAGGGCTGCGTTCCTTTCTGGAGGTTTGGAGGAGAGTCTGTTTCCTTACCCTTTACATCTCCCAGAGCAGGGGTGGGGAACGTCCGGCCTGCATAAGGCCCGAGAAATCAATACCAGCTAACATCACACACCTCACCAAATTAGCCTGACCAAATATAGCAGGCTAATTTTTAAGTTGATAATTTTGTATAGCCCTCGAATGATGTTATAAATATCCAAATGGCCCTTGGCAGAAAAAAGGTTCCCCACCCTGTCCTAGAGGCTGCCCTCATGCCTTGGCTCTTGACCCCTTCCTTCATCTTCACAGCCGGCAACTTTGCATCTCTGACTCTCCTTCCGTTGTCCATCTCTGATCACAGCCAGGAAAGGCTCTCAGCTGGATTACACTGAACTCACCTGCATATTCCAGAATACTTAGCAAGGCCTTTCGCCTTAACGACACCTGCTAAGTTCCTTTTCCTGGTAAGATAACATTCACAGGTGCCAGGGATGAGGATGTGGATGTCTTTGGGGGCTATTACTCTGCCTTCCTCAGATCTCAAACACTGTCATGGCTGGTGCTGTTATCATGGGGTGAGGACTTTTGTGAAACTTGGAAAAGTAAGGAAAGTGGATCATTTGCAATAGCTGAGGGAATAGTACAAAGACCTCCTGTATCCCCACTACCCATATCCT